ATCCCAGCAATCTATCGCCACTTGCCCAGTGAACTTGGGAAGCAAGAGGAGTCTTGGCCTGTGGGCTTGTCCATTCCCTGCTTCTGAAGATGCCCCCCACCCCCACCTCATTCCCTCCTCCACCCAGGATGGAGGAAGGATTCAATATAAAGAGTCCTGGGGGTTCCCCTTTTCTCAGGCTTCTTCTCCATGCCAGGAAGTCCTGGGTATAACCCGGGTGTCTTGCTGCTGTAGATCCTTCCCTGGGTGTCCCACCCAGAGCCTCCTCAGCTTCACGGTCTGACCTCAGTCCTGTCCAGAGGTCCCTGGTCTGTCTTGCTGAGAGAGGTTTGCAGTCCTTGGTGAGCTCGGGCCTTTTGATATGTGTGTGTGTGCTAAGTCACTTCAGTCGTGGCCAAATCTTTGCAACACTATGGACTGTATGTAGCCCGCCAGGCTCCGCTGTCCCTGGAATTCTCCAGGCAAGAATACTAGAGTGGGTTGCCATGCCCTCCTCCAGGGGATCTTCCTGATCCAGGGACTGAACCCATGTCTCTTAACATCTACCTGCATTGGCAGGTGGGTTCTTCACCACTAGTGCCCTCAGCTGGGAAGCCCCGGCCTTGGGATGGACTGGTGTAAATCTGTCTTTTCCTTCTGGCCAGAGGTGTCACAGTCTGGCAGGAGAGAGGCCAGGCTGCATGAAGTATTCCCAGTGGAGGCTGGGCTTCCTCACAGCTCATTTCCTGGAAATCTCCTGGGATCAGCTAGCTGGTGTTTTCCCAGGGAGGGTTTGGAAGGGCTGGTAAGAGCCCAGAAGGGGTAATGAGATCAAAGGGTGCCCTGAAGCAGTCAAGGGAGGCCATTCTCTGGGAAAGTGGGTGGGACGCCCAGGAGTGTTGAAGCCTTGTTCACGGACAGCTCTAGACCTCTAGGCAAGGGGAACTGGCAGACTTAGAGGCAGCCTGCCCATCCCTCCAGCTAGGAGCTTCCTGAGGGCGGGCATCCTCTTTGCATGATGATGACTCCAGAGTCCCTGCCTGCGCCAGCGGGTCCCATGGGTTCGCATCATACCCTGGTCTGCCCCTGCCGTGAGGTTTTGGCCACTGGGTCAGAGTTGCCTCTCTGCTTATCTAGTCCTTCCACTTGGCGGGCAGGAGCGTCACCGTTGCTGCCCTGGAGACTGGCCCAGCGCCTGACACACACTGGGGGCCTGATGACGCCCCCTACACATGTCAGATGCGGCAGATTCAGAGGTCCTTTCTGTGCCCTCCTGTATGAGATCTTCTGGGGTGGGGCGTGGGGTGCAATTCAGGAAGCTTGATGGAGATTTGGTCATAATGATCCAGGTCTGGATTCAACTTTTTTGGGTCTTTTTTTTTTTTAAATTTTTGGCTATGCTGCACGGCATGTGGGATCTTAGTTCCCCGACCAGGGATTGAACCCACGCCCCGTGCATTGGAAGAGTGGAGCCTTAATCGCTGGACCACCAGGGATGTCCCCTCAGGTCACTTTTGAGGGAGGGGCTCAGGGATCACAGCACACATCCGTCTCCCGTTCTGTCTCCTTTCTGTCACTTTCTTGGGCCCTCCTGTCTCCTTTCTCTCTCTGGAGAGCTCCTGAAACCGGCTCTGGCTGGGAAGTGAGTGAGTTGGCCGAGGAGGAGGTGTGGCAGGAAATCCAGGGGGCCTATGGGGTGGACAAAGGATGCTGGGAGGGGCTTCTCTGGCCACGGTTTTGGGGGGGGGCTCATGCAGAGATGGGAGTCTTCTGAGGTCTAGGGAGCCCATCGGTCTCGGGGGCTCCCCCTTCCTTGAGACTGAGGCCTCTGCCGAGCAGCCAGAGCTGGGAGCGCCGGTGCAGAAGCAGGGGGCCCAGGGGGAGGACCAGTGCCAGCCACGCCAGGCCCAGGAGGATCCAGATGGCTGCCAGGCTCCGGTACACCGAGAGGTAATGCTTGCTGGGATCCGTGCCTGGCAGGGAAGGGGGACACAATCGGTGCCAGGGTTCTGAGGGACAGCCACCCTCCAGGTTCCAAAAGGGTTCCCACCAGCCTTCCCCTAATAAGGATCAGCAGGCGAGACCCCTGGGGCGGGGGAAGGGTGATGGGTTCCCAGACCAGCGACTTCTGAGGCTGCTGTGAGAATTCGCAGCAGTGTCATGAAGTGTTTGTCTCCCTTGAATAACCAGGGGCTCTCTGGTCCTCAAGAATTACCTCCCTCCTCCCACTGACATCTCCCCCTCCCCCGAATCCCGGTGGCCCCCAACCCTGTGATCTGTGTCTGCCCCTTTCTCACCGACGACATAGTCCCCGAAGCCGATGGTGCTGAGGGTGATGAAGGCAAAGTAGAAGCCTTCGCTGAAGCTCCAGCCCTCCACGTGGCTGAAGATCATGGGCGGCAAGATGAGAATGAGCAGCGTCCCCAGTGCCAAGAAGAGGGCCAGGCCCAGGGTCTGCAGCAGCTGGAAGCGGGGGAGCCTCTGAGTCCACTTGGAAGGCCCGTGGTTATAAGCAGGGGAGGGGTTCTGGGGTGAGCTAGGAAGCGGGCTGGGCCATAGTCAGGTCCCTGTGGCGCGGGGGTTGTGTCTCTGTGTGTGTGAGATCTTATCCGGGCCAGGGAAAGAGCTGGTCAGCAGGATTGTGTCTGTGGGTCAAGTAGGAGATGCCTTTCGACTTGGTGTCCACACGTGCAGGACCCCGAGGACTCAGATCTGGGATGGATGACGGTCACTGAGCTGTCCCCAATCTTTCTACACCTCTGCCTCTTTGCATAGTTTTGCAAGGGACCAGAGGACAGGGTGGGCCCTGGGCGTGCTCAGGGTGGTGTGGAGATGGCTATTGGAGTTCTCTGATGACCATGGAGGTGTGTGCCCAGACAGATCCCCCTTCGAAGAAGGCCTAGCCAAGCCGCCAGCAGGTGGCCTCCAGCCATCTCTCTTACTCAGGGTGTATTTCAGCCTGGGCCAAGGGCACACCTTGCCATGCCCGATTGAGGCCGGGGCAGAGTCCTGGCCACGTCAGCGCCCACTGTGGGACAGCTTGTGCCACCGGAACCTGCCCAGCTCCTTGAGGGGTGGGCCGAGGCTTTGTCCAGCCTGCATCATAATTTCACTCCTCCCTTCACCTGGTCCTTTTCTTCCATGGGTGTCGACCCCAAACACCCTGCTAGCCAAACTCTGTCTCCGTGTCAGCTTCTGGGGGACTTGACCTGCAACAGACTCTGTCCCAGTGGGGCTGTGGGGAGGGAGGACCTTACCTGGGAGCGTCTGGGCTGGTCCTCCCACCTCTCCAGCATGGTCAGGTGGGCACGCAGCCCTGTGCCCAGGTGGTTGAGGAAGACCACGTTGAGAGGGATGCCCACCAGAGCATAGAAGACACAGAAGACCTGGCCTGCCTCTGTGCTAGGCGCCAGGTTCCCATATCCTGCAGGCAGGGGAGAGGGTGCAAATATGAGGAAGGGAGAGTTCGGAATGGCCCCCCTGACACTCTAGCAGAGGCTGGTTTTCCACCACCAGAAGGAGGAGAGGTGCAAGGAGAGGGGTTCTTCCGGCCACAGGAGCATGTTTGGTCTGGGGGCAGGTCCGAAATGCTGGAGGATTCATACATCCGGACTCAGTCCTCAACCAGCCAGGGCAGGAGTCGGTAGATAAATACGCCTGCTTCCTCCCCGGTTGGCTGGGCTCTCCTTGGTCTCAGAGGGTCCCCAGCACTGCTGGACCCAGTGGCCCTAACCAGTCCCCTGCTCATCACTGCAAACTCTGTTGCCCTATCTCCTCTTCCTGTTTCACTCTCCCACTTCTCCTGCTTCCCAGAATCGTCTCTGAGATAAACCACATCCTTGTCTCGGCCTTTGCTTTTGGGGAACTCAAACTTCAGCGGGGGTACTGGGGGTGGCCTTCTCCACCCCAGAGCTTTACCTATGGTGGTGACGACCGTGCCTGCAAAGAAGAAACTGCTGCCGAAGTCCCAGTTGCTGGGGTTGGTGGAGTTGCCTTTGGGGTTCACGCCCTTCACCCAGGCTTCCATGATGACCTGTTGGGTTGGGGGAGCAGCAGGGGGTGGGAGGAAGAGGCTGCTGACAGCACCGGCTGGTGGCCAGCCTCCCCGCTGAGTACTCCCCTGTTGTCTCAGGGGAAGTTCTTAGTTACATTCCCATTTCATGGAAGAGGAAACTAAGGCTCAAAGTGGCTGACTTGCCCAAGGTCGCTGAATTCCAAGCTCACTTCCTGCTTCCCTGGCCAAAGGCTGAGTGTGATGTGAGCTTTAAATGTGGCTAGTGGAGGGGAGATGGCCCCAAGGGGGCAGACGGTGCTTATGGAGTGGTCCAGGTGGGAGATGTTGCCTAGAGCCAAGAGGGTGAGACCCCAGGGGTTGCCAGGACAACGAGAAGACTTCAGGTTGCATGTTCCTGGAAGGGTGTACTCGCGAACATGAGGTTTGGGACCGCAGGAAGGCCATAGGGCTGCCCTCTCTTGGGGCTGATGGTGGACAGAGGACCTCGAGTTCTCTGAGCTTCCAGGTGAGCTGGCAGGCTTGCTCTCTGCTGCCCCCTGGTGAGTCCCAGGTCTATAGGAGAAATTCCATCAGAGGCCAGGGCAAAGGTCTCCTATGTGTGTGTGTGTTGGTGGTGTATATGTGTGGTGTGTTGTATACATGTGGTGTGTGCATGGGTGCCGTATATGGCACATGTGTGCATGCTGTTTTTTATAGAACCTGAACCCTGCAGACTCAAGCCTAAGCCCCTCTGTCCCCCGCCAAGCCGTCTAGGAGGTGGGCAGGACACCCGTCCCCATCTGCTCCCAAACCCCTCCCCTGTAGCCGTGAATTGCCCCAGGACAGCTGTGCAGCCTGGCCACCTGGTAGAGACCCAAAGGCCGGAGGGAGGCAGGGGGAGCGGGGCGAGAGGGAAGCTCCAGCCTCCAGCGCCTGTGGGAACCGTTTCCCCGCTGGCCGGGTGAGCAAGCTCTGCCGGGGCTGGGGGTGACCCCTCTGAGGGCCAGGCCAGTCTGGATGTCGTGACCGGGGCTGTCTGCTTCTCCTCACTTTGGCAGAATTGGCCTCGTCTCATGTGAATCTTGGCCTCTTTCTCTTTCCCACACACCCAGAGAGGCCAGAACCGAACATTCCAGAACACTCCCGCTCCCCAGAGACCCTCGCCCATGGGAGCAGCACTGGTTCTAAGACCCGGCTGTCCCCGCCGCCAGCCTGGGGGTCTCCATCCTGCGGAGGCGGGGCCGCAATGCGGAGGGTGCTGGGGGCGGGGCTTCCAGTGCGGACGGACTGTCCATTCTTCTCCAAGAATCCTGGCGCCCAGGTGAGAAAGGCAGACTTGCACCCTGGGCAAGTTTCCTGATGGTGTCGGTCTTCAATACTGTTTTTATTACTGTTTAACTCTGCCCCCATTGTCATCTTAACAGTAGAGCAGGCCCTCGGTATCCAGGAGAGTCCCACCAGCTAGGTTCTCATTCGCGGTCACGGAGAATATCCGCTGGGGTTCCTGGAAGCAATCCCGCGCTGACACCGAGAGATGACCATCATGTGTGTTCTTTGGGAATCTTACCCTGGCATTCTTCTGCCTCTCAGTTGGACATCCCCTGGCAAGTGAGGGTCCCTCCCAAGGATGCTGAGGATCCCCGGGGAGGTCTGGGGGCCTTTCATCAGTGGCACCCTCCTCAGGATTGCAGTCAAGCCTGTGCCTTTAATTACATACCAGCTACCAGTCCTTTGCCTGTTCCCTCCGCAGCTCCGGGAATTGCTCCCAACCAGGAGCTGAGGGTGGGGGGTTCCAGGGCCTCTGGCTTACTCCCCATCCTGAGCCCTTCTCAGCCCTGATTGGGGTGCTGTGGTCCCAGCCCTGTGCTGCTGGAGAGCAAGGAAGTGAAACCTGAGGCCGGAGGCCCCATTTCCTGGGAGAAAGGGCCTCTCACGGCTCTGGAAAGTTCTCTGACCAGCCAGACCACCTTCCATCTCCTAGGCCTGCTATCCCCCAATCTTGGGGGTCCATCAGTGTGGCCTGAGGACTTGTTAACACACAGCCTGTTGACCCAGTTGCCCCCTGGAGTTCCTGACTCAGGAGGTCTGGGGTGGAACCTGAGGGATGGCCTTTGTAAGGAGCGCCCACGTGGAGCTGATGCTGTTAGGCCAGAGCCCAGACTTGATGAGCTGCCCTCTGCACTTAGGTTAACCTGTGTGGCGAGCAGCAGCTGGCTTGGGTTCGAGTTCTGCCTCTTCCATTAACTACGCAACTCTGGGCAACATACTTCTCCTCTCTGTTGCCCAGTCCCTACCTGCAAATCTGAGAGAGTGGTGGCAATATGTAATTATGAGGAAACACATAGAAAGCACTGGGCCTGGGGGGATGGACCAGGACTGGTCGGACCCCATGGTGATGGCGCTGCTCCCTGCTATTTGGGGCACATCATAAATGGTACAGACCGGTCACTGTGATGAATCTGCACTCGGCTTGCTCCTTTGCAGTGGGTATTGTGCCCCACTGGACCTCTGGTCTCACCCTCTCCCACAACACCCTGGTTTTGGCTGGTTTCTGGGGGAGAGGGGACTGGGGCCCCAGAGTTTCTACAGAAGGGACCCAAGCAGGTCTGACCCACTCTGTCACCAGAGACGCCCCGTGGGCCCCAGAGGGGTGGGGCTCAGTCACCCTGGTGGGTGCTCATCAAGGCCAGGTCCACGGCTGCCGGCGTGGTGGCTGCTCCTGACCTTTATCTGCGTCTCCCACCTGCAGTGTGGTCAGCACCCCGGGGAGGGGGAAGGTGAGCTAGCGGGAGAGCAGAGGAAGAAGCTGCCCAGAGCTGGGGAAGGGGAAGCTCCGGAGTGTGGGGGCAGAAGTGTGTACAGTGCTGATAGCCCTGACACACGGTTCACGTTTATGCAGCAAGTGGCCGCCTAGAAAGAGCTTTTAATCAGCTCTCAAACATCTCCTCACCTAGAAGGGGGCCAGAGAGGTTAAGTGACTTGCCCAGTGTCTCACAGCAATCCAGTTATAGACCCCAGAGGCCAGAATCTGAACCTAGGTCTCCCCTGGCCCTCTGTTCCCATCACGCTCGGCTTTCAAATGGGGCCTCAGCCATCAGTGATGACCTGCGGTGAGACCTGCATTCTGCATCCCTCCCCCGCCCCCACCCCTGTCCCACATCAGCCTCTCCCCTTCACCTGCACAAACTGCTCCACAGCCTGCTGGTCCAGGCAGGTGTAGTTCTCCAGGAAGCGCAGCTTCTCAAACTGAAACCGGTCCCTGGACTGAGACTCTGCCTGCTTCTCCAGCAGCTGGAAGATGGTGGCGCCGAGCAGCAGGTAGCAGATGTAGGCCAGGAGCAGGGGCAGCACCCGGCCGCCCCAGCGGCTGCAGAGCCTGGCGCGGGGCATGGTGGGCCCAGGACTGTGCCAGGGCCGTGGGGCTGGCGGTGGAAACAGAGGCGGGAAGCGCCCGGGGACCTGCGTCCAGCCTCCTGCCTGCCTCACCCTCCCTGGCGGCACAGGTGTTGGGAGGCTGGGGAGTCTGTTTGAACAGTGCAGCTCAGCTTGGCTGCACTAAGTGCCCTGAGTGCAAACAGGCCTGTCACCCCCCGCCTGGGCTTTTCTTTTTCCCCATGGAGAGCAGCAGGTCAGCGGCAGGGACCCCTCAAAGAGCCCTAGCGGTCCTCCCGAGGCCTTCATGTCTTACTTTCTGCCTCCAAGTTGGATGGGTGTTTGGGGACCAAATTGGATGCTCCCCTTCACTCTGCCCCGGCCCCCTTGGCAGCTCCCAGCTTCTCACCCATGACGTCTTCCGAGCCCCAGGCTTAGGAGCGGGGAAGAAACCAGAACAGGTGTGCGTAGAACTTGCAATCAGTTGCCTTGGCTACGAAGTGGGGCTGGAAGGGTGGACCCGCCTCTTGGGGGAACCCGAGGATGAGGGACCTGGGTGACAAATCAGGAGAAAGCAAACAGACAAATGACAGTCTGGCTCAGGAAAAGTGTGAGGGTTGATGTTCTTAATAAACTGGAAGCATTTGCTTTAGAGTTTTTGCTGAAAACCCTCCTCACTTGAAACCCTTAGCAGGTTCCCTTGGGAGGCCATGTCGGTGAGATGTATGTGTGAGTAAAAAGAAACTAAAAAAAGTACCTCCTGGCCCGGAAGCATTAGCAGTGGTTCACTCTGGGTGGGTGGAATCGAGGGTGTTTTCCTCTCTGTCTGCATGTGTGTGTGTATTTATAGCAGCTTTTTTTTTAAATAACTCACATGCTACCATTCACACACTTTAAGTATATGATTGAATGGTTTCTCTGTTCAAGTATATTCAGAGGCCTGCAACTATCCCAAGATCAATTTTAGAATATTTTTAAAACCTCAGAGCAGAACCTTGTACCTTTTAGCTGTCACCCCCATCCATCCAGTCTGCCACCTTAGCCTCTGGCAACCTTTAACTTGCTGTCTCAGGATTTCCCTAATCTGGACATGTTTAAAAATTTTTTAAAAATGAAGTATAGTTGATTAACACCGTTGTACCAATGTCTGTTGTAGAGCAAAGTGACTCAGTTACACACATATATACATTAAAACAAATTCTTTTCCTTTGAATATATCAGTAGTTCACTGTGCTATACAATAGGACCTTGTTAGACAGCATTTCATTTAAATGCTAGACTTTTTAATGCTAGACTTTTTAAATGTTAGACTTTTGTGTCTGGCTTCTTCAATTAGCATTATGTTTTTAAGGTTTATCCAAAATTTATCAAGTGTCAGCAGTCCATTCTTTATGGCTGAATAGTATTTCATTCCATGGATATGTACCAACATTTTATGTATATATATATATACCCGTTTATCAGTTGATAGATATTTGGCTATTATGAATAAAACTGCTAGGAGTGTTCATGTATGAGTCTCTTTTAGTGGGATCGTAACTCTTCATTTCTCCCCTATAGTGTACTTAGGAGTAGAATTGCTGGGTCACATGATCACTCTATGCTTAATTATTTGAGGAACCACCAGACTGTCTTCCAAAGTAGCTGTGCCATTTTACATCCCTACCAGCAGTGTGTGAGGGTTGTCAGTAATCTGCGTGTGTTCTCTGGCATTTCCTGTAACGAGCTGTGCCCGCAGACACAAGTTACCACGCTGATAGCTTTCCCCGCCTTCTTGGCGAACAGAACCCCACATTTGTACACGTCAGCCCCAGGCAGTGGAGCCTGGCTGATCTCACCCATCATGATAATCCTGCTCCTCACTGTCTCAGGAACAGCCCTGCAAGGGGGCTTTGTGTGTGGGCAGTGAAGTAAGTGAAGACCCATAGGGGGTTAAACAGCACCGTTGCCCAGTCCTCCCCTGGTTTCCGGGGAGCCCTGATGGGTGAAGTGCATCCAGTTAGCCCCCTGGAGGCAGGGAGGCCGGGCTATCATCTTCTCAGCCCAGGCAGTCATTCTGGCATTTCTAGTTCTGCATCTGCAGGCAAAATGCTCCAGGAGCCTGTGGACAGTCCACTGAGGAGCCCCAGGCGTGGCCAGGCCATTGAAAGCAAACACATGTGAAAGCGGAGGAGAGGGGCCCAGAGAGGGGGAGGGGGTCAGGGGATCGCAGATGCTGGCCCCTGCTCAGCTACCCCGTGTCCTTGCGGGAAAGGCCAAGAGCATCGCAAAGACGCTCAGCTGATTCCTGCATAGGCCTACCTCTAGATTTAAACAGGTTTGAAACCTAAGCCCGATTTGTTTAAGCCACAGTTAGGGATTGTTACTTCTCAATGGTTAGATAAGTTCAAGGTTCAGTCGGGGCCCTGTCTGGGGGTGGCAGGTGCCTTCCTTGCAGTCCTGCTGGCTCTGGGTCCCTGAGACCACCTGGGGGTCCACAGCCGTCTCCTGTAAGGCCCTCCTCACAGCCAGAGCTTTCCCAGACAGCACCATGCTGGGAGGCCGGCTGGTCCTGGGGCAGAAGCAAGCATCTCGGTCACACATCTCACCCTTGGTCCTGGCTCTAAGCTAGGGTTATGCTTACACACCTGCCAGGCGTGTGATAATCAAATCCCGTTTTATTGCCCGGGAGAAGCTCAGTATGTGAAGAGTTCTCCTTTACCATTTGGAAAGCTCACCTGTTGCTGTCTGGGGACTCGGGCGGGTCTTAGCAACCTTTTCTGTGCGAATATCCTTGCTGAGTCTGGGCGTGGTCTGCAGGTGGTAGTGGTGGTTCTCAGGTGGAGGGAAAGGAAGGGGGAGACGGGCGAGCATGATGGGGAGGGCCGTCAGTGGCAGGTGGACAGGGCTCCCTCAGAGCCTGGACAGGAAGGATGCCAGGCTCACTGTGGGCCAAGATCCCACTCCTTTGGGAGGTCTCGCCCACCACTGTTGAGGGCCTCATCTCATTTCTCCCTGATGCTGCTGTTTCCTCTCACAGAGCATTGTGTATTTGTGGCTCAGTCATGCACAGAGCATTGTGTATTTGTTGCTCAGTCATGCCCGACTCTTTGTGACCCCCTGACGCACCAGGCTCCTCTGTCCATGGAATTCTCCAGGCAAGAATACTGGAGTGGGTAGCCGTTCCCTTCTCCAGGGGATCTTCCCCACACAGGGATCAAACCCCAGTCTCCTGTGACTCCTGCATTGCAGGCGGCTTCTTTACAGTCTGAGCCACCAGGGCTTCCCTGACAGGGCATAGCCTGGCTGGAGTTTAAGAGTCTTTCCCAGGAGCTTTTCTGGCTTAAGGGGCCACAGAGCTAAAGATGGAGCCTTCCTGGTGGATTTCAGGGGCTCAGCTCGATGGGTCCCCAAAGCACTCTGCACTCCAGGGCAAGTGCCTGTCCACCCCCGCTTCCCTCATTCAGTATGCGAGCTGGGTGCCCTCTGTGTGTTGGCACCTGCCTTGGCTGCTCCTCTGCCTGGCTGTGGCCCGGCCCGGCCAGGTTTAGGAGGGAAACTTCATGCCTGCGGGGACCTCCCCTGCTCATCCAACATGGTCCCTGCCTGCAGGACACCTCCCCACGTGGGCGCCACTCCGCTGGGAGCGATGGACGGACACGGGGCATGATTTATAATCTCTTTCAGGGAATTATTGCTGCTAATGGGCAGCCCCAATTTAAGCTTCCTCAAGGTGGGAGGGCAAAATCAATTAATGGAGAGTCTAACGTGGCCAGGCCTGCTGGCAGAGTGTGGCCTGACATCCGGCAGTGATAAGGGACCTTTTGAGGCTGAACTAATAAGGAGATTGGAGGGAAAAAGAAGAAAAACAACCCTCCCCCCACCCCCGATCAATCTCATGTACAGTGGGCAGAGGATGCAGAGCAAACAGCAGCTGGACGCGGGCCTCTTTCCGTCTGAATGAGCCGGGGCCGGAGGGCGGGCCAGCTCGCCCAGCCACCGTCCAACATCGGTATTCGCTCACCGCCTGGCTCGTGGCTCGATAGGCGCCTATCTGCACAAATGAGAAAGGCGCGTTCAGGGCCAGAGATCAGGGGAGGGGCTGAGGCCCGCCTGGCCCAGGTGCGTCCCCTGCAGGGGAGCGGGCAGGTGGCGGGCTCCGGGCTCAGATCCTGCCACCCTGACGGTGCCCACCTACACGGTGGCTCATGGGGCCAGAGCCACAAGCCCGGTGTGTGGTTGGTTGTCTGGGCTCCTGGCGGTGTCCGCACCATGAAGGGTGTGGGAGAGCCTCCCGTGTGGGAGGCAGGGCCTGTGGGTGTGAGTGCCGTGCTGGCCAGAGAGTCGGGGGNACAGCTCACTCAGGGCTGTCCCACGGGGCAGAAGGAGGCTGGGCTGTTTCTCTCTCAACTCCCGCCCCTACCACTTGAGGGCTGACAGGGGAGGTTACCGCCTGCACTGCCCGCCTGCCCTGCACATGGGCGACTAGCAGGCTCACCTCACTCGTTTCTCTTCTCTTGGGGTTCCAGGTCTTGTACTGCCTTTGGTCGCATGTCGGGAAACTCTTGTTTTATGGGTTTTGTCTAGTTTTCAGTTGCTTAGTGCAGGAGGCTGCATCAGGCTCTGGTGCTCTATCGTGGCCGAAAGTGCCAGCTCCATACAACCTACCCTCAAGTGCCTGCTTCCCTCCTAGCTCAGTCGGTAAAGAATCTGCCTGCAATGCAGGAGACATGGGTTCGATTCCTGGGTCGGGAAGTTCCCCTGGAGAGGAAATGGCACCCCACTCCAGTGTTCTTGCCTGGAGAATCCCATGGACAGAGGAGCCTGGTGGGCTGCAGTCCCTGGGGTTGCAGGACTAAGTGCCTTTCCCTACTACTAGTGTTTTATTTCTTGGTTGTGCTGGGCCTTCGCCGCTTTCTCCAGCTGCAGCGAGTGGGGGCCACTCTTCCTCACGGCGCCCGAGCTTCTCCTGTGGCAGAGCACAGGCTCTAGGCATGGGCGTTGGCAGTTGTGGGGCGCGGACTTAGTTGCTCTGTGGCATGTGGGACTTTCCCAGAGCGGGGATGGAACCCGTGGCGGCTGTGTCTTATCTTAACCACTGGACCAGCACGGAAACCCTCAAGTGCCTTTCGATAGGCGGCATAGAAGGAAGGAAATGAACTCGGAGAAACTCTGGGTCTGTTCACAACGATCTCTGGGTTGCAGTTTCAGTGGCTTTTGCTACAGGTAATGCTTGGTAGCAAGTCCCGCCCCCGCAAGTCGTAGTGGTCAATGACAGCAAGCATTTATTCTCAGGAGAATGGCTCCTCGGGTCAGCCGAGGCTCAGCAGACCTGGGAATCCAGGCTCCAGTGCTGCGGGGCTCGACTCCTGGCTGTGGCCTGGGCTCGGGTCTGCTCGCTGCGTGTTCTGGGGTGTGGGCTCGAGGGGCTAGCGCCTGCCCGGGACATGTTCTTGCCAGGCAGAGATCACCAGCCTGGCAAGAGGCGGGCCCAGCCAGGTCGGCACACTTCATGCCTCTGCTTGTACCATAGGTGCCAGTGTCCCCACTAACCAAAGCAAGTTGCAGGGCCGAGTCCATATTGAAGGGGGAGGGAGGCATACCCTGCCCTGATGAGGCCATGGCCAAAGCTCTGTTACATAGGGGGTGAAGAATTCAGGCAGATTATTCAGTCTACCACAACTTCTCTTTCTGCTTTTTAAAAACCACCCCCCTTTCCAAGGTCCCAGAAAGCCACATTCTAAGCCTCCCTCCTCCTAACACTCGCTGCCACTGGCAGAGCCAGTTCGGTCCTAGTAGGACCCGGCTGGGAAGTCACTGGCCAGGCTGCTTTCCGGAAGATGTTTTGGAAAAATGCCACATTTCGGCCTGGAGTGAACTCAGATACCCGGGACCTCCTCATGGCTCTCTGGAACCCGGTGCAGGGGGCGGGAAGGGGGAACTGCTGGAGGGTCTTTCCAGAACATTTCCTCCGCTCCTCCCACTTGCAGGGCCCGCAGGGCTGAGGGGCAGTTACACCAGGGGAGCGGCCGTCCACGTCAGAGGCCAGCCTCTGTGGGGAGGGGGCGACTTCGGGGGCTGGCTGTGTTCTTCTCGTCTTTTCCTCTCCGGCCTCAGCGAGACTGTTCTAGGAGGCAGGTTTGCACTCTGCGTGGGGCCACGTCACACATCCCTGTGAACGAGGCCCTTGGGTCGGGGAGGTAACTTCTGGGCAGGAGCGCTATGGTTCGCAGATGAACCAGCTCCAGAGGGCTGGGTGCCAAGGTGTGCCGGGTACTCTGAGTCTGTTTCTGAGGGAGCCTGGCCCACTCCCTGCCATCCTCGGGCTCTTGAGAGAGAGAGAGAGAGAGAGAGAGAAAGAGCATGTATGTGCCCTGCGGACTCCTGGGGAGGCTTCTAGAATCAGGCTGTGAGGGCCATTTGCGCCCCCCTCACTGGTTCTGTGGACTTTCCCAAGGATTTGCCACATGCCACGTGGGGCCCAGGATGCCCAGTGGGCCTGGGGGCCCAAGAAGCAGGAGAGTGGCTCTGACTCTGCCACTTGTGAACCAAGGACATGGTACCGGGGACATAGAGCAGGACAGGCAATCCCTTGTTGTCGTGGAGCTTTTAGTCCTGGTGGTGGTGGGCTCTGAAGACCATTAGGGAAGAAGCAAATAGGGGATTCTCTGGCAGTTCAGTGGTTAGGACGGCTTGCTCTCAATGCCGAGGACCTGGGTTCAAACCCTGGGTGGGGAACTAAGATCCCACAAGACGTGCACCATGGCCAATAAAGGGGAAAAAAAAGGAAAGCAAATAAAGATCTGACATCTGTCAGGTAGTGATGAAAAGATAATAGAGTGACGGGATAGAGGGTGACCAGGGTGGGGGTGTCCCTCTAGTTGGGGTGATCAGGGAAAGCCATCCGAGGAGGGGACCTCTGCCGCTAACTGGCTGTATAATCAACAACCAGGACCTCCCTTTCACTTCATTTCTCTTTCTTTTTTAAAAATAATTTTCTTCGTTTATTTTTGGCCGTGCTGGGTCTTTGATGCTACACGGACTTTCTCTAGTTGCGGTGCTGGGCTTCTCTTCTCTGGTCCCTCTTGTTATGGGACACACGGGGCTTCAGTAGTTATGGCTCTGGGCTCTAGAGCACAGGCTCAAGAGCTGTGGCTCACGGGCTTAGCGGCTCCTCGGCATGTGGGATCTTCCTGGACCAGGGATGGATGGAACCTGTGTTCCTGCGTTGGCAGGTGGATTCTTTACCACTGAGCCACCAGGGAAGCCCACCCCTGCCCCGCTTCAGTTTTCTAAAGTTATCAACAAGGGTGTGGGTCAGAGGAGCTCTGTCTAGCTTTGAAATGTAATCACCTAGCTTCTCTTGCATGATCCTGTTACCCAGACCTGAAAGGGTCGGGAGGCTGGCTGGGGAAACTGACTATGCCGTACTCTCTCTCTGCTCCCTCCCCAGGGCGACTCATGGGCCAGAGGAGACAGGGCAGTGGACAAGCGCTTTTATTTGGTTAGCTGCACTTCCAGGGTCCCTCCCCTTCCCCCTGCCCACCCCCCTGCAGCTGGCTTGGACTTACTGCCAGCATCCTGAGGTGGGTGGCAGTCCCCCCAAGGGCCTCTAGGGGCGGCCCACCCTCCGCTGGCCCTGGGCCGGGAGTGCTGAGAGAGCTCTCTGAGATGCGGTCCTCTGTGGGAGTGGGGAGAACCGACCCAAACCCTGCCCAGCCCCGAGGTACGGGGTGAAGGGGAGGCCCAAGGCACCCACACTGCTCCTCTCGGTTCTCAGTGGAGCTCCCGGGAGCTGTCCACTGCCCTCCGGGCGCAGCTGTAGGGATGGCTCCCTGGAGACGCAGCTGATTCAGATGTCACCCGTGGGTCATCTGGACCGTAAGAGTGATGCTGCGGAGTCTGGCCTGGGAGGGCAGGGCTGGCCACCCAGATGCCCTGCTGCTGTCCACTGCCTTGTCTTTGGTCTGACCTGCTGTGTGGATGCCCCAGCCATTCCTGGGCGTCTCAACAAGGGGCTGGGGCAGGGGAGTGGCGGGAAAATATTGGGTTGGCTGAAAGTTCATTTGGAATTTTCCTGTAAGATGTTACAGAAAAACCCATACAAACTTTTTGGCCAACTCCATAGCTAAAGATAACCCATTATCATTTCCGCCTCCTTCTACCAGTGTGAGCTTCCCTGCCACTGAGCTAGGATGGTACTGTTTTAGGATCTCAAAGGCTTGTAGTCGTCTATGTGTAAGACCACAGCAAGGGTGAGCTAAAGCCCTCATTCCACCCCTAGAACCCGGCACTGCCTGGCTGCCCACGGCTCCTGCACCCACAGCAAGGACAGCACCGTAAGCCTGGCCCCAGCCCCACTGGCAGCATCCAGGGCTCCATCCTTAAAGAAACACAACCCCCCGACTGGGATCCAGGTCACCAATTGCTTCCAGCAGGCCACAGATCCCTGCTGGAGCCGAGACCTTCGTCTGGAGTCCGTTCTTGCCGCCGCAATGCACCGCCGGTGCTTACTGGAAACCTGAAAGGAGATGAGTGTTCTCGGTTAGCCCCTGCTTGGGTCACGGACCTCTCGGATGGAAGGGCGAGGGGAACAGGTGGGTGTCAGGTGGGGCACCGCTCAGGACCTTACTCCCAGGAGGCTGTGTCTACTCCCCAAACACTGTAGGAAATGCCTGCCTACTTTGCTCTTTGCAAAAGTTTCATCACCCTGAGCCAGGACCACACTCATTTTCCAACTCCACGGTTTTTGCTGACATAGCTGTTTAATTCTTGCAGATTCGATCCTTGCTTTTTGCCCCAGCTACACATTATATTCCTTGATGTTTCCTCCTGACCATGTGGCCCCATGCTGTATCTTCCCATGGTGGGACATGAAGAAAGGGTTCTCTGGCCTAAGAAGCAAGACCCCTGGGTTCTAGCCAGGATGGTCCCCAACCCATGGTGTGACCTTGGGTAAAACATGCCTGTTCTCTGGGCCTCACTTTTCTCACTTCCAAATCACTGGAGTAGACCTGGGAAAAGCCAAGTAGCTAGTGTGGTTCCTTGCTTTGCAAGGTGGGGTCCACCGACCAGTGGCACGGGCATCTCCAGGAGCTTGTTCAGAGATGTAGACTCTTGGGCCCCACTCAGACTTACTGGACCCAGAAAAGTATGAGAACTAATATGGGGGATGTGCAGTTAATTTGCTTAAAGTTTGGCTACCATAATAAGAATTTCTGAAGGTTCTCGGGTAAAGAACACGGTATTTTTTAAAAAACTGCATTGAATGGAGAGACGGAGGGGCGAGGCGGCTGCAGCATCCAGGTGAGGACGTGGGTACCTTGCAGCGGGGGGTGTGGGTGTGGCCGGCGTGCTCTTCTGGAGGGGGAGTCAGTGATTCTCTGAGACGCAGAGAATGTGGGAAGTAACGGGGAGGAAGAGGTTGAAAACGATTCAAGGCTATGAACCCTTGATCCCCAGATTTAGTTCTGTGGGCAAGATCTAGTTCCATGGACTTCACTGTCTAATTCAATGGAGATGGTCCTTGTTTTTTTAAATTTAAAACTTTATTTTATTTTTGGCCGTGCTGGGTCTTCACTGCTCTGTGTGGGCTTTCTCTAGTTGTGCTGAGTGGGGGCTGCTCTGTATTTGTGGGGTGTGGGCTTCTCATTACGATGGCTCCTCTTGTTGTGGAGCACGGGCTCTGGAATGTGGGCTTCAGTAGTTGTGGCCCTGAGGGCTTCGTTGCTCCACGGCATGTGGGATCTTCCTGGACCAGGGATAGAACCTGCGTCCCCTGCAGAGGCATATGGATTCGTAGCCACTGAACCACCAGGGAAATCCTGACATATCCTTATTTATTTAAAAAAAATTATTTATTTTTTGGCTGCACTGGGTCCTCATTGCTTCTCAGACTTTTCTGTGGGGCTGCTCTCTAGTTGCAGTGCGTGGGCCTCTCACTGTGGGGGCTTCTCTCGTGGCAGAGCATGGGCTCTGGGGCGCGTGGGCTCAGTAGTCGCTGCTCCCGGGCTCCGGAGCACAGGCTCCATAGTTGGGGTGAACGGGCTTAGCTGCTCTGTGGCATGTGGGATAATCCTGGATCAGGGAATGAACCCACATCTCCTACATTGGCAGGCAGATTCTTCACCACCGAGCCACCAGGGAAGCCCAGTCCTTATTTTTAAGACATTCCTGGCTGTCCTAATTGACTCTTAGACCAGGAAGGGAGAAAGTCAGACACAGCAGAGCGTGGGAAGGTGATGTGTTCCAGTCACTCTGGACCCAAGGTTCCCAGCAGGTGCTGGGTGGCAGGTTGGAACCCAGGCTGCAGGCGCAGGTCGGAAACGTCTAGGGCGCCCTTAGGAATCCTCATACCCAGGCCACTCTCAGGACGGGTTAAATCAGAATCTCTGGGCCCTGGCTGTTCTGAAGAATGGCCAGGATCAAACCCATTGCTCTCATCTCTCTGTTCCAAGGGTTGGCAAGGGCAGGTACTGGGGACCGTGATGCATGTGGCTGTGGACCAAGTCATGGGTCTGAGGCTTCTTCTGCACCACTGACAAGCATCCTGGGCCAGGATTCCTGGTGAGGTGCACAGAGTCGGAGCCAGCTCCCCCCTAGGGCTTTCACGGCTTCCTCCCCAGACACTTGCCTGCGGTGAGGACTGGAGGTGAGGGTGGGGCTGAGAAAGGGCTCAGGATGGGCTCAGAGTGCATGATATTCAGAGACACAGCTCCTCGCACAGATCAACCTCCACTCACAACAAATGTGCTGGTTCCCATTCATTCTCTACGAACCTCATTTAAGTAATGGAGCTGCCGGTCGATGCCGGGCTTTTGGTCACTACGGATTCCCAGGGTGGAGGGCACTGCTACACCATTGAAACCACCACCACACCTCACCGCGTTGGATCAGGTCTCCACACACAGGCCAGTTTCCCTGCTGACGGCTCCCTGGCGCTCAGCAGGTTACGAGGGAACTTTGTGGACCGTGTCTCAGGAGAGCTGCCCACTGGGGCAAGGGTGGAATCTGAGCCTGACAGGGGTGACGGGGAGGTTGGAGGAGGTGAGCGGCCCAGGGTCGCCAGGGCCGAGATGGACAGCCCTTACGTCCCGGTCTCTTCCTTCCCAGATCTGTGCTGTTTCCGTTTCTCTGGGAGGGCTCCTGATGGAAGGAGAGAGCCAGGGGCTTCTCAGAGCGGAGGTGCTGGGGCTGGGGGTGCAGGGGGATTTTGGGACTGCTCCTTCTGGCTGGAGAAGAGGGCATTGTGGTCACAGGGGGTCACAGCAAACATCAAGGTTCCAGACAGACATTCTTCCAAACTCAGGGATTAAGGAGGGATCTAGAAAGGGGTTAATCTCATTTTCTCCACTCTCGAAGTCACCCTTGGCAGCTAGAAACAGCAGCTTTGACACTGTGGATGACTAATGCCCCTTCCGGGGGAGATATACCTGTCCACGTGTGCCCCTGGCAGGGACTGAAATGCTCCACAGCTTCCCCAAGAATCCTAAATCAAACAGATTCATCCTGGCCCTTGGTGAAGCCTAAGAGCCAGCTAAATCACCCTTTCCAGGCTCTTGTTCCTTGGCTGACGGTCACAAATCCCCCATAATGAGCACTTGTGAAGGAGCCCCGCCAGACAGCGCCACTGAATTAAGAGCAGAGGGGCCCAGGGCAGGGACGGGCAGTGTTTGCTTTGGCTGCGGAGGGGAGGGCAAGGTGCCTGGGCCCGGCCCGTGTGTTTGCCCACACGGAGGCCTGATAAGTGGGCTGTGTAGACAGCGCGGCGTGGTGGACCGGGGCCATCTGCCGTGCGTCGGTGGGGAGAGACCGCACCTGCTGCTCTGCAACCCTGACCTGGCCGGAGAGGGGCCCTTTGTCACCCTGTCTTCAGCTTCCCTGGGGCCCCGCGGTCACGAGGAACCCGGGATTATTTTCCTCCCCTTGGGGAATAAAAACTGAATCCTCGAACTCGTGTTTGTTTTGATGAATTACTTCCAGGCTGCCGTTTGTTTGGAGAACAAAGCTCCCCAGCTGCAGGGAAGGTGGAGGCTGAGGGAAAACACCCGCCGGCAGGCTGGCTTTCCAGACGGCTCGGCCCAGTGGAGCGCGGGAGGCCTGGGTTCTCCTGGCTCTGCCGTTGCAGGGGGGCGCGGTGAGGGGGGGGCATGTGCCTCAGCTTCCTCTCCTGTCAAAAGGGGGATCACACTCGCGGTTCTGTGAGACTTACAGGCGTGTTGAAGGCGCCAGAAGGAATAATGTTCATGAAGAAAATGTATAACTGGTAACCTGCTCTAAACATCATAATGAAAGTGCCCCAACCTCTGGGGACTTCCCTGGTGATCCAGTGGCTGAGACTCCGTGCTGCTCCCAATGCAGGGGGTCCAGGTTCGATCCCTGGTCAGGGAACTAAGATCGTACATGTAGCAACTAAGATTCCGCGTGCCACAATGAAAATGGACCATCCCACATGCTGCAGTGAAGACCTGGTGCAGCCAAATAAAATAAATACATAAAAGTAAATAGTAAAAAAAAAAAAAGAGTGCTCCAGTCTTTGACCCAGTTTTCTGAACCAGTCAGGCCTGGTGTTAGCAGGAAGATGCCATCCTGCCATAGTCTTTGGATGTCTGCCTCTTCTCTTCGGAGTGGGCTGGAGGGTCATGTCGCTAATGTGTGAAACAAAAGCTGTGTAAACAGAACTTTAAAATATTGCTTATTTGTAGACTTTTGGATGGGACAAATGATGGTTGAATTTTATGAATTTGTTCCGGGGGGTGGGGGTGTCTCCTAGCTCCAAGAAGGTTCTCTTGCATTTTAGTCCTCTTTCCCATATCATAAATCCCCCTCCATTTTTTCCCCCTCCTGGGCCGTTCCTTTCAGCGTATAAACAAATCTTTGTGACCCCCACGTGTCCCATGCCGGCAGCAGTAAGTCTGGGCCATCCGGACCGTCCCGGGAAGGTACTTCCCTGAGAACTGCTGCTCCTGGTCCCCTGTGGCCCACACGACACTCTGTGGCCCGAGTGAGCTTTCCAAACCACTGGTCAGACCACATCACGCTGTGGTTTCAATTCTTCCCCGAGTTCCCACTGCGCGCTCCTGGAGCAGAAGCCAAGCCCAGGAGGCCTGTGGGGTCCTGCCCTGCTCCCTGGCTTGGCCCCCTGCCCCCAGCCGTGCTAGCCTCTGTCCCACCCCGTGACCCAGCCGAGTCCTTCCCCTCCGGGCTGGCCCCCTGCTGCCCCTCCCAGAGTGGAGCCCTGCAGAGCCGCACGGCTGCGTCATCCTCACTCTTAGGCCTCAGTTTTGAGTCTCCCCCTTCTCCGCTCCCAGAGAGAAGCATCTCTCTGGGGATCTCTATGCATCACGTATTCCAGCTACTTCAGAGCTCTCGTTGGCCCCGAGGATGACCTTACGTCTCTGGGATGCGGTCACAGTCTCTCTCCTTCCTTCCAGCCTGTCAGGGGCTTCCATCTTGTTCACTGATATAGCCCCAGCACTGGTACAGTGCCCGGCATACAGAAGGTGCCTAATAAACACAGTGCTTATTTACCGACTGGCTGTCCAGTATTGCTCTGTGTCTGATACGTATCATTAGAGTAATTGGGAGATGGCGGGGGTGGGGGTGGCTTGGAGAGTCTGAATCTGAATTCTAACTTTTCTTTTTGAGACAAGGAAGCTGCGATGAGAGAAGGCAAGTTACGTCACCAGGTGTCACAGCAGGGTGGTGGCAGAGCCAGCCTGTCCCGGTCTCAGCAGAGAGCCGACGGCGGCGCTGATGTTGCGGGTGCTAGTGGTGAGGAGAACAGTTGGCAGCCTGGGTCCCAGCGAGGCTGGAGGACACTATGACAGGGATCTGCTCTATCCGTGTGCACACCTCCTGCAGCCTAGCCTGCAGGGAATTGGAGGTGAAGCTGAGTGCAGGCCTCTCACGGCAGGTGTCGGCCCCCAGAGGGTCCAAGAGGTGGCCATCTCACCCGTCTGGTGCCTCGCAGCCGTGTGAAAGTGACACTAAGCCAGATGGATAGCCTTTGAATCACTGGGATGAGGCTAACACTAAAAGCAGGGCTGGGGTGAGGGGCCCTGGATGGAGGCCGGGCCCTGCGGGTCTCCAGGGAGAGGGAAGAAGTCCTGTCCGCGCGGGAGGGCAGGGGCCACGAGGAAGCGCAGGGGCCACAAGGAAGCGGGGGAGGCCAGGGACGGAGGCCAGGCCAGGCCTTCTCTTTCTCTTCCAGCTCCAAACACACCACATATTTCTTCTCTAACTGTTCCCATGTCCTCGGGCCCGGGCCTTCAAGTGGTGTTCACACCTACAACTCGCTGGCAAGAACCAGGCTCCAACAGGAGAGTAAGATTTCGAGCTGGGGGTTGATTGAGTTCCCAAACTGTCAGTCAGCACTTCCTGTTTGGAGTGGGCAGATGAAGGGAAGCTGGCTCTGGGGATAGGCGACCAGAGGTCTTAAAGAGCTGGGGACGGAGGGACGCTTTGCCAAGTGGGGCAGGCAGGGGCCCCTGGGCCGGCCACCCCCTGGGTCCGTCTCAGTGTGTCTGAGGCTGCCTTCTGGGGCTGTCTCCAGGAGGAGGCAGTGGTGGGCAATGCAGGAGGTGACTGCAAGGCCCTGCTGGAGGCTTTGGGAACCTGCGGAAGCTTCCTATTTCCTCAGCTCCCTGTTGTTTCAGCTTTAACCCCCGCCCCAACCTAGGGCCTGACCTTGACCTGGGCCCTGGAGGAGCTGCCGGGGAAGGGGCTCTTACCTGTCCTCTGCAGGATGTTCTGTCTGGCCTTGATGAAGGCCAGGATGTCGGAGTCCGTCTGGCTGTCCCCTGTGAGAGGGACAGATGACACTGGCCTCTCTGGGATGCTGGGGACAAGGACACACCACACTTTATCATGCTTGACCTTTGGCCCTGGGATTCACCTTTCCAGGGCACTTTTCCGTGCTCATGGCTTTTCCGCGCTCACCCCCGCTTCTCTGCAGCCCCCGCAGCAAGCCGCCTGCACCCACGCGAGGCACGTGGCGCCTGGTCTTTTGGCTCAAACCCTTCATGACTGCCCATCAGCCTTGGGATGAAATTCGGACTCATCCCTGTGTGACCTAGGCTGCTCACTGCACTCCAGCCACGCCGTTACTCTGATAGACCAGGCTCCTCCCGGCCTCCGGCCCTTTGCTTTGCTGTCTCCTCCTCCTGGGCTGCTCTGTCCCCAGACCTTCACAGGGCTGCACGTGCTTTCAGCACCTCCTCCATCCCCTCACCCCCACCCCTCTCTGCCCCACCCCTAACTGACACAAACCAAGCCCATTCTGTGGTGGGCCTGCCTTCCTCAGCCCCCGGCTTAGGTGTCATATCCTCTAGGACATGCACCCCCGCCTCCACCCCACAGGAGGTGACCACAAGGCCTGGCCTGAGGCTTTAGGAACCTGCAGAAGCTTCCTGCTTCCTCAGCTCCCTGTTGTTCCAGTTGCCCCCCTCGCCTCCCTGCCTTGGGCCTGACCATTACCTCAGCCCTGGAGGAGCCGCTTAGCTAGCCCTTAGCTAGTTGCTCCTGAGACAGAGGTAACTCTTTTCCCTTCTCTCCTTAAAAACAGAACCCTACTATTTAGCCCAGCAAGTTGCCACTTTCAGAATACTACATTTCCCAGCCTTCTTTGCAGCTATGTGTGGTCAGGTGACCAGATTCTGGCCAATGAGATTTGGAAGAAGTGAGTATTTTTTCCCCTTTAAAAAGGGAAGGATGCAAGTACCCCTTTCCCTTCTCATTTTCCATCCAACCCCTAGACGTGAAATCCTCCTTGAGAAATTCAAACGAGGTGCTCTCCTGGCTCTGGCAAGCATCTGTCCTCACACCCATCACTCCACACGACATGGACAGTATCCACTCCCTTGGGAGGTGGGGATGATTGTGTATAACAGAGGGTTGCTTATCATCTCATGTGATATTTGGCAATCTGACTGCAGCTCAGCGAGAAGAGGTAGGGCAGAGCTGGGGCAGGGAGGTGGGGGCAGTTGTGCCTTCCATCCAGAGTGGGGGTGTAGGGGTGGAGTAGGGTGTGGTGGTGGGTGGAATTCACCCCTGGGCAGCCTGTGGAGAAAAGCAGGGCCTGCCGGGTGAAGCAGGGCTCACGGGTAGTCTAGTCAGAGGACAATGGAGACACACATTGGGGGCAGGGGCCGCATCAGCTTTGCTCAGTCTGAGGCCAGGCCTATCAACTCCATCCCTTCCCACCTGGGGACTCGGCGTGGGGCCGGTGGGCTACATGGAGCCACCCCTGGGTTGGCTCCTGTTCCTTAAGTAGCCCCAGGTACATCTATTTACAAGGAACACACGGGCTTCCTGGGTGGTGCTAGTGCTAAAGAAGCTGCCTGCCAGTGCAGGAGACATAAGAGACGTAGGTTCAATCCCTGGGTTGGGAAGATCCCTTGGAGGAGGGCATGGCAATCCACTCCAGTATTCTTGCCTGGAGAATCCCATGGACAGAGGAGCTTGGTGGGCTGTAGGCCATAAGGTCACAAAAGAGTCAGACATGACTGAAGTGACTTAGCATGCATGCTGTATATAGATGCTTGCAAATACATAGTCACAATGACTATCCTCCAAAATATGAAGATACTACAGTTGAAGGATTATAGATGAGTGTTTTTTTCCATCTGAATCATCTAAACTGTTTAAAAGAAACATACCATCCACTTATGGTGAAAATATTTTTTCTTGACTTTGAAGGAGAAAAAAAAATCTTCCTTTTAATTACATACTTCCATGAAAATATTTAATTTCTAGGCATTCAATAAATAATACAGATGCAATTCACAGTTTTGTCCAATTCCTATTCGGAGTTTTTCAAGAAATGAATATTTATATACCACATAGACTATGACTGCATGTTTGCCGTTTGCCAGNACCTTCGCCTGGGACTTCCCAGCCTTCAGAACTGTCAGAAGTAAACAAATTCCTGCTGTCTAAGCTGCTTAGTCTACGGTTTCTCTTATGGCGGCCCAACCTGACCATAGCCGAGACTCCTCTGTTATGGATGATGATCAGTCCGTTCAAGCTGCTATAACAGAATGCCATGAATGGGATGGCTTCAACTACAGGAATTTATTTCTCACTCTTCTGGAGGCTGGAGTTCTGAGATCAAGGGGTCTGCAGGGTCAAGACTGCCAGATTCTCCTTGTGTCCTCACATGGTAGAAAGAGAGTGAGTTATCTGGCCTCTTTTTTTTTTTTTTAAATCAGGGCACAAATCCTGTTCATGAGGGCCCCACCTTCATGACCTAAAGACTCATCTCCAAATACTATCACTTTGGAGGTTAGATGTCAACTTACGAATTTTTGGAGGACACATCCAGTTTATGACATTCTGCCCCTGACCCCACTCCCCCCAATTCACATCCTTCTCATGTAAAATACATTCGTTTCACTCCATAAGCCCCCGGCTTGTGCCAGCATCAACACTAAATCTCATCCGCTGAGATATCATCTAAATCAGATATGGGTGAGACTCAAAGAAGGCAAAAATGCCTTGTTGGTTGTGAACCTGTGAGACCTGACAAGTTATGTGCTTCCAAAATGCAATGATGGGACAAAGCATAAGACAGATATTTCCATCCATTTTACCTTTTCCATTCCAAAAAGGAGAAATAGGAGAGAGAAAGGGAGTGACAGGTCCCAAGCAAACCCAAAACCTACAGTGCAAACTTCACGGGACCTTAAGGTTTGAAAGGTCTTGACTCTCTTTGGCTTGATGCTCTACCCTCCAGACCCACTAGGGGTGAAGGTCCTGTCTTCTGGACCCATGGGTGGAGGTCCCTCATGGTTCTGCTGAGCAGCCCCACCTCCACATCTTTGGGCAGAGGCTGTCTGGCTTGCTGAAAGCACCAACCCACCCCCACCCCCCGCCCCTTTTTGAAACAGAGGAGACAGTTGTGATGATCTGTGAATTGCCTCTGGGTCATTCTTTCCTGGACCTAAAGGCTAATGCCCATTCACATCAGATTAGCTCTATAGCCCCGTCCTGTGAGATCCGAGAGGCCCACCAGCCTCCCTGTCTCCTCCCTTCAGTTTAGTCTCAGTTTTCCCGCTAGGAAGGCTGATGAAGCACGCCATCCATGCCCACACTAGTCTCCCAGGGTTCTCTTCTGAAACATTTCCTCGGTTTTTGCAATATGAATAGGCTGAGAATTTTCCAAATCTTTACATTCTAGTTCCTTTTTGCTTAATAATTCCATCTTCAAATCATTTCTCTCTTCTTGAATTTTGATCTCAGCAGTCAGGAGGGGCCAGAGCCTCTCCAGCAACACTTTGCTTAGAAATCCCCTAAGTTAAACATCCGGTTTTGTCACTTGCAAATTATTCCCTCTACAAAAGGCCAGAGTATGAATGTAGTTCAGTCACATTCTTTGCCACTTTAGAACAAGATCACCTTTTCTTCAGTGTCCAGTAGCATGCTCCTCGTTTCTGAGACCTCACCAGAATGGTCTTTACCATCCATATTTCTGCCAACATTCTCTACATGGTTATTTTTTTATTCTTTAAGAAGATGGACATGTTCTCTACAGCTCTCCTCTTTTCTGTTTTTCTTTCTTTCTTCCTTCCTTCCTTTTTTTTTTTGGCTGCACTCCATCCTCATTTGGGTGCTTGGGCTTAGTTGTCCCACAGCATGGGGGATCTTAGTTCCTAGACCAGGGATTGAACCCACATACCCTTCATTGGAAGGCAGGTTCTTAACCACTGGACCGCCAGGAAAGTCCCTCCTCTTTCCTTTCTGAGCCCTCACTGGAACTGCCTTTAAAAGTCCTGGAGAAATAGGAGAGAGAAAGGGAGTGACAGGTCCCAAGCAAACCCAAAACCTACAGTGCAAACTTCACGGGACCTTAAGGTTTGAAAGGTCTTGACTCTCTTTGGCTTGATGCTCTACCCTCCAGACCCACTAGGGGTGAAGGTCCTGTCTTCTGGACCCATGGGTGGAGGTCCCTCATGGTTCTGCTGAGCAGCCCCACCTCCACATCTTTGGGCAGAGGCTGTCTGGCTTGCTGAAAGCACCAACCCACCCCCACCCCCCGCCCCTTTTTGAAACAGAGGAGACAGTTGTGATGATCTGTGAATTGCCTCTGGGTCATTCTTTCCTGGACCTAAAGGCTAATGCCCATTCACATCAGATTAGCTCTATAGCCCCGTCCTGTGAGATCCGAGAGGCCCACCAGCCTCCCTGTCTCCTCCCTTCAGTTTAGTCTCAGTTTTCCCGCTAGGAAGGCTGATGAAGCACGCCATCCATGCCCACACTAGTCTCCCAGGGTTCTCTTCTGAAACATTTCCTCGGTTTTTGCAATATGAATAGGCTGAGAATTTTCCAAATCTTTACATTCTAGTTCCTTTTTGCTTAATAATTCCATCTTCAAATCATTTCTCTCTTCTTGAATTTTGATCTCAGCAGTCAGGAGGGGCCAGAGCCTCTCCAGCAACACTTTGCTTAGAAATCCCCTAAGTTAAACATCCGGTTTTGTCACTTGCAAATTATTCCCTCTACAAAAGGCCAGAGTATGAATGTAGTTCAGTCACATTCTTTGCCACTTTAGAACAAGATCACCTTTTCTTCAGTGTCCAGTAGCATGCTCCTCGTTTCTGAGACCTCACCAGAATGGTCTTTACCATCCATATTTCTGCCAACATTCTCTACATGGTTATTTTTTTATTCTTTAAGAAGATGGACATGTTCTCTACAGCTCTCCTCTTTTCTGTTTTTCTTTCTTTCTTCCTTCCTTCCTTTTTTTTTTTGGCTGCACTCCATCCTCATTTGGGTGCTTGGGCTTAGTTGTCCCACAGCATGGGGGATCTTAGTTCCTAGACCAGGGATTGAACCCACATA